GCCGCCACCTCTTCGCCTTCTCGGCCCTCCCAGCCGCGGCGGCGGGCTCCGGGCGAGAGTAGGCACCCCCTTGGGGAGCTGGGCGGGTCCGCCAGGGATGCACTCCGGGGGGAAATGGGAAGGATGATCGTGTGGGTGGGGAAGCACAGACGATACGAGAAATGCAGAAGAGGTGAGAGAGGAAAGGGGGAATAGATGCAAGGAGATGCATTGGAAAATGGCATGAAAGGGGGGAGAATGTGTCTGGGGGGAGAAATAAAGAAATGAGAACTTCCTGGATAAAGACAGAAAACTTACAGTTTTAATGATCTTCTGCGTGTGCATCTCTATTTTATTATGTCGCTAATAGATGTCCCATAGCTAGATGTGGGGAAAGATGTAAGAGCCAGAAGAGCATTTCAGTATACTAACACTTTGTGTTGGATATCCTCGTTTAGAAAAACTCAGGTCTTTTCGAATTATTCTGAATTCTCTGGTTATTTTTTTATATAATATATTCAGTTCTGAAGGTTTTTTTTTTTCTGATGCAGACATGGCAGCGATACTTATTTGCAGACATGGTAGGGATTACTTATTTTCAGGAAGTACTCATTTTACCTTCCTCTACCTGTATTGGGTTGAGTCTACACAGTTTTATTGTAAACCTTATACCGATCTCTAGGGATGCAGGGCTCCTTGTTTATGAAGACTGCTGTCTGTCCAGGGCTTTTGAAGCTCCCTTGCCCTCTCATCACTGGCAAGAGGGAATTTTGTGTTGGTTGCTGAAGACTGTTCTTTGTATCTCTTCTGAGTGCTCTTCTGATGACCATGCTGCTGCTATCTTGCACTCTAGTGAAAAGTCAAGTAGTCCTGTAGCACTTTATTTATTTATTTATTTATATAGAGAGAGAGTTAGTCTTTATATATGTAAAAACTTCAACAACAATAGACTAGTAGCACCTTAAAGACTAACAAAAAATGTAGATGGTATCATGGGTTTTCATGAGCACACCTCACTTTTTCAGATGACTCCTGTCACCTGGTATCCAGTTGTTGTTTTTCCTGTTACAGACTAATAACTTGGCCACCCCGCTGAGGTTTTTCTATATATGTGGTATCATGAGCTTTTGTGGGCAAAACCCACTTCCTCAGATGAGTGGAGAGAAAAGGGGGGGAAACCTCACAATTTATAACCGAAAAAGAAAGGGGAAGAAAAAAATACCTGTCAATTGTAGTGCTGGTGTGAATGAGGCTAATTGAGTGGTCTGGAAGTATCCCCTACTTAGCTTTTGATGTCAGTGGGATGTGAAGAGGATCATCCACTGCGACTATGTTGACATGTTGTGTTAGAATAGACAACATTTTGTCCTCTTTCAACAGCACTGGAGTTTTAGAATGAAGGAGGGGGAGGGAAGAGTCCTAGGATGAAAGCATTTCTTCTTCCTGTTGCTCTGAAGGGAGGAGATAAGACAAAATACCCGTGGTAGTTGCACTCTACTGCCACCCACCAATGTGCTGGGAAAAGTGGGAGATTGTGACTAGGAAAAAAAGGTGTTGCATTTCTTACATCTTTTATAATTGGCAGTGTTATTGGTTAAATGGCAAAATAAAAGAATACGTTACCCAGCACTTCTGGGTAACAGTGTATATTACTGAATGCAAATCTCCCATATTTTAAAATGAAATGTGAACTAAAATTGTGCTTGCCAGTCTGAAATGGGTACCTTAAACCTGAAGTATCTATTTCTGTCTTAATTTTGATTATTTAGTTTTTTTAAGCAGCGTGAAGTAAGGATGTTAAGGACTAGTCAACTAGTGAAGTAAGGATGTTAAGAACTAGTCAACTAGCTCGTTCCCCCTCCCCTTGCTGCCTCTATCAGAGGCGGGAAAGACAGGGTACTTCAAAGCGGCAGTGCAGCATGGAACTGCCTTTTGAAACGCTGCCTCAGCATTTCAAAGCAGCACCACATGGAGCTGACCCCAGGCTCCATGCAGTGCTACCCCTTTGAAACTCCACCACAATGTTTGCGTGGAGCCTAGGGTCAGCTGGGGACTGCCTAGCTGATCCTGGGTTCCAGCGCAGTGTGCAGAGCCCAGGGTCAGCTGGGGAGCCCCCAGCTGATCCCGGGTTCCGGAGAAATGCTGTGCAGAGTCCAGGGTCAGCTGGAGGGTCCCCAGCTGACCTGGGCTCCATGAAGCATTTCAAAGCTGGTGCCTGCATACAGCCCAGAGTCAGCGGTACCTCCTGCTGGCCCCGGGCTGCATACAGAGTTCCTCATTCCTCCTTTGAAATGTACAAGAGCCCCACCAACATCTCTTGTACATTTCAGAGAAGGAATGTGGAAGTGCCTATCGACTAGTCGATGGAAATTCCATCGTCTGCTTGACAAGTAAATAACTCGATATTTAACATCCTTAGCATGAAGGCATGTGCTTGTTTCAGTAAAATAGTGCAAAGGTTATATGCCAGCTACTACTTGTTTTTGTATTACAATTTCTGTTTACTCTTCCTTACAAGATTGAAAGATCTATATTTGAAACTTATATGAGCAAATAAGTCTTGGTAACCATACTTATGAAAAATCTGGGAAGGTTTGACAGACTCATTCTTCTGGATATTGGTGGTGTTGGTCTTCCCAGCAGTGAGTAAACAAGTTAACTTTTGTGTGTGGAAGGGTTAGTTCTAGTCAATAGACTAAAGGACAGTCTAGAATAGATTAGAATCAGCCCTTATTGGGAGGTCTGCATTTTGTATCTATATACAGTTTGGTTTTATTTCTGATGGCACTGAGCCTGTTCTATTCTCAAAAACTTAATCTTTGGGAGAAATAGCTAAACACTTCTGTAGAATGTACATGACATCATGAAGCAAGGGGCCTTTCGGTTCTTCTCACTTCATGAGACAGTAGGGAGGAAGTTAGTGAACATCCTTGAAATCTACTAGATAGAAAGGAGTAAACTAAAGTCAAGGGCAAATATTTGCCCACTCGGAAAGTGTGACAGAACTTGGTTCCCTTTCATTCTTCAAGGAAGTCAGTGGGAGGAATGTGAGAGAAGCCTAATAAAGAGAATAGACTCAGCTGGCAAACAATACCATTTTTCCAGGTTGGCATCCAATCTTCCAAACTGGAAACTTGTGGTTAGTTATCTATGTTTACTTTAGGAAAACCTAAATAAGTCATCAAACTTTCAGGAGTGTGGAGTACCAGCAAGTTCCATTAAATGTAGTATAACCTGTGGGTGCTTATATTGTAGCCTGATTAATTCATTTTCTGGTGGAGAATGTTCTTGTGAGCTTGGAGTGGAATCTTTCCTTCCTTTCTTTCACTGTTGATTTGGAATCCTAGTTACTCACATGCACGTCCAACCTTGGACATCCTAAGGGACAATAAATATTTGAAGGTGCATAAATATCAATCAAATATGTTGTTGGGTATGCCTCTTGAGCAACCTTAACTGTGTTTTATGAACTTTTTTTCTGTGTGGGGTTGTAGTACATTACCACTTGGTTAACTTTCTTTTGTGGAAATGTTCTGCAAGTGTTGCCTTTCCATTCAACCACTAAGAAGTGGTTAAATTGCAAAGCAAGGCAACCAGGACATTCAGACGAAAGGAGTCTCACATGTGCCTCATACACAAACATTATAATGCTGAAATGCCCACGCAGGCTCATCATTAAGGCTATGTTTTAGTCACAGGTATTTTTAGTAAAAGTCATAGGAAGTAAACAAAAATTCATGGCTTGTGATCTGTCTGTCTTGTACTATATACCCTTAACTAAAATTTGAGCTGTGGGGCTGCTCAGACACTCTTTGGTGCTGGAGGAGGCAGGTGATGGCACACGGCCAAAGATCACCTCTGGTGCTGGGAAGGGGCAAGTGATGAAGTGTGGCCTTGGGACCCTTCCTGGTGCTTGTGGGAGAGGGCTGTCGAGGCTCTTAGGTTCCCTATCTGGCTCTGCACAGCTCCCTGGAAGTGGCTGGCATGTCCCTGCAGTTCCTAAGGGGCTTTGCAGGCTGGGTCCATTACAAGTGCTGGCTCTGCAGTTCCCATTGGCCAGGAACCACAGCCAATAGGAGCTGCAGGGACAGTGTCTGCATGTTGGGGCAGCATGCAGAGGCCTTTGGCCCCTCAATCGAGGACTTGCAGAGACATACCGGCCTCCCCTGGAGAGCCCTCTTGAGATAAGTGTTGCTCTGAACCTCTACCTCCTACCCTGCCCTGAGCCCCCTCTCATACCCAAACAGCTTCTGTTGGGATGTGGGGATGCAGTGGTTGAGACTGCTTCAGCAGTGACTTATGCGGCTGGCCCAGGGGGCTGCCTGAGTTGCTTGGACATCACCAGAGCCAGTTGTAACAGCTGCTGCAGAAGTTACAGAACATCACGGAATCCATGGCTTCTGTGGCACATGCATCCTTACTCATCTACACCAGTGTTTCTCAACCAGTGGTACGAGTACCCTTAGGGGTACTCAAGAGAAGTCTGGGGGGTACATCAACACAGCTGAAATTGGGAGAAAACTGATTTTTTTTTTTCAGTTTTACAGCGTTTTATTATTTTTGTACTTTTTACACCCCAAAATTTCATCGCCCGCCTGGGTACAATTAAGTTGTTTAAACAAATGTGTTGCAATGGTAGAAAAAATTTTGTCTGAAAACTGTAGGTACTGGGGGTACTTATAATTTTTTAACGGGGGTACTTTATAAAAAAAAAAGTTGAGAAACACTGATCTATACAACCCCCTTTCATTTCCATTGTATGAATACCAAAAGTATGCACTTGTTTTATCATACACAGTGCTAACTCTTAACTTTGGTTGTAAGTATTATGCATTTGAATGTGATTATGCAGTTCTATCACAGTTTTGTCTGATAGGCTTTGCAGAGATATGTGTCCCTGTAGGCATAGGTGTTAGTTTGGAATTTACCACTGCATTAATTGACAAACTATAATTTGTCTCTTTCTCCATAGGAAGTAACTGCTAGCAGTCGCCATTATGTTGACAGATTATATGACCCTGATCCCCAGAAAGTCCTGCAAGGTGTCATGTAAGTAATATGAACTTGGATTTGAAGGTCTATCATGACTAGTCTCGGTTTGCTTGAAACTCAGCAGCTTTGCACTTGAAGGGAAAGAAAGGTACTCTGCAAATTTCTACATGAATTTATTTTGGAAAGGTTTACAGGGATTGAATACAAACACACAATCATGTTTAGTATATAATCATTTTGTAATGCGTACTGTTGGTAGCTTAGTCTCACTATCATGAGAAGGTGTTCTCCTTTCAGGTCTGATTAGTATTCTGTCCTTTTTCCATCACTACAGCAGATGTGATCCACCCTCTCCAACTCTCTTTTCTTGCCAGAATGTATGGAACATTGTATTGACCTTCTGATTCAGTCTGAGCACGGAATCCTCCCCACCTCAACTTGCTCATTCAGAGTCATTTTTTTTCTCTTTCTCTAGCCTAGCATCGGTAATAGTAGGGGGGGAAAGTTGGTAGAAAGATTTTGAAGGAAAATGTCCAGGGTTTATTGACTGGTGCTATAATGTTATTTCCTGTCTTCACTTGGATCCACACATTCTTCATCCCTTTACTCAGCAACACTGCAAAAATGGCCTTGAGTTGCCCAGGACTGACTCCTATGACAGACTGTATCTTTGCCTTTCAACTGTCTCTTCCTGGCTGATGCTAACTAGATTTCCTAGAAGATGTGAAAGCACCAGGTATTCAGTGGGCTAAGAGACAGTTGGGGGGGGGGAGGCGGGGTGAGACATCTAATATTGTCTGTGGACGGCTTGTTTTTCCATGTGTCTTGTCTCTAATGCCTGGCCCCTCTATGGATTATTACTTTGAAAGTCAACAATCACCCACAAATCAGATTCCATCTGCCCTCTCCTTTCTCCCATACTTGCCTTTTGAGAAGGCCAAGGTCCATAGTCTCACTGATGGCTCCTTCCCAAACCCATCTCATTCTCTACCCAAATTTTGCTTAAGCCTCTAAGAAAAATTTGTCTAAAAAGAAGCAAAATTGCTGTCACCCTCTTCAGATAACTCTGCTAATTATAAAAAAAAATTCCCTACATCAGAGACATCAGACTCAGTCTGTGGGGAGGATTTGATTACGTTTTCACTCAGGCTGTGGGCTGGGAGTTGAATTCACTGGCAAGAGGTGAATCTTGCAATCTAGTCTGACTGTAGAATGCACCTCTTCAGTTAGTGAAGTTAGATATTGCATTAAAGACAATTTAAATAAATGCATTTTATTTCCTCCCTTTTTGTCAAATTAGTCTTTGTTCCCACTGTAACCAGTCCTTTCTGCCTCACTCCCCTCCCCCCCCTTTTATGAACTATACTGTCTATCCTGTCTTCTGGATACTGCATCCTGCCTCTTTCTCACTACATTCCTCCCCATGGTATTTATATACACTCCTTTCTCACCCACCAATCCCCTTTGGGGACCTGGGTCTCTTCTCTTGTCTTTCCCACCTTTTGGACACTAGTGGTGTGGGGTGCTGTGGGGGGCAAATCTCCCTTGAACTGGTTGCTCCAAACACATTGTTCGTCTGAGCCTGTTGCTGCAGAACTTGACAGCACCATGTAGGAGAGAAGCTTCAAGAAATAGACCACCTTGAAATTAGATCAGTAGCCTTCAGGTGGCTTATATAGACAGTACTTTTAACATTTTAAAATCAGTAGGTCTGCATAACTTGTACCCAGGAGATTTAAAAAAAGAGATGGCTGAAAATCTTGATTGAGCATTGATGTTCATTTTCAAAAGCTTTTGGAACACTGGAAGAGTTCCAACTAATATGCCAGTATTTAAAAAGGAACAGGCTGACCTGTGTATTATAGGCTTGTCAATCTGACATTGACCTCAAACAGAATAATGGAGCAGTTGATATGGGACTCGATGGACATTAACTATATAACCCTTCTTTAAGTCTTTATCAGTCAGTATGGGTTTATGGATAACAGATCTATTAAACTAACTTGATTTTTCTCTTTGATGAGATTACAAGTTGATTGGAAAGGGTAATATGTTGCTGTAATATATTTAGGCTTGGTCTACACTAGGGATCTGAAAGTGTTCAGTTCATCAGTTAAGGTGCATAGTTACACACAGCCCCCCTCTATAGAGGGGGCAGGCGGGAACCGGTGCCCATGGGGAGCCAGCTTTTTGCCTGCTTCCTCCTCCCCCTTTCCCTGCTGGTGCCAGCACAGGGGTGGTGGGAGCTAGTGTATATGGAGCACGCCAGATGACTACCAGAGCAGCCCCCTTGCCTGTAGCATAGTGGTACCCAGAGAAGTCCTGCTGCTGTCAGAGGGCTGGGCTGGGCGAAACCCTTGCCTGCTGCAAGCTATCTGCATCCCAGTTAACCAGTTATGGTTAAAAATATATTGTTTAACCAGTTAACATTTTTAAGGAGTATTTTACATACCAGTCCACACTACAATAGTGATAATGCTGATGTAGTGGGTGACGTACATTGTCCTAGTAAGAGGCATAGTGCTTAGTTGGATGTAGTTAGTGTGTCCTTACATTGCCTGTTGGTCAACTGTGTGGGGCTGACAGCCCTGAATCTCCAGCCTGCTTTTCCTTTGCCTCCTAGTCCCTTGCCAGGCAGCTGTTAAGGCTCTTCTCTGCCTCCAGTCCCTCACTGGGAGGTTTCTTTCCTCTTGCCATCCCCATCGGGAGGCAACGGTAGGGCTCCAAACTAGAAGCCCCAGAAGCAAAGCTGGTGCTTTGGGCTTTGACAGTGCTTCACTCTAGTCCTTGGAAGAGCTCCTGGTGAGGACATGCACCGCCAACAGAAGATGCTACTGTGGACATGAAAAGCTGTTGTAATTACTCATGAGGGTATGTGCGCAAAGGGTGAGAATTCAAATATTTGTGGATGTTTTCTACATTTTCAAATCTATTTATTTCAATTAAAACAATACAAAGTATACAGTCCTTACTTTGTTTTTACTACAAATATATTCACTATAAAAAACAAAAGAGCATTTTTCAATTCATCTTATACAAGTACTGTAGTACAATCTCTTCACAGGGCTACTCAACACATGGTCCATTTGTTTGTGGCCCGCGGTGCTTTTTGGATTTACACTAGGCTCAACACGTGGCCCACAGACGGGAGCCAAAACAAAAAAGTAGTCAGTATAATGGTCTTCTGTTGATATGTGTGTTAGTAGCTAAATTCCTGGACTGTCATTACTCATTAAAAATGCTGTCATATGGGTGGAAATTGAGTAAATATTGCATTTTATTAATATCAGCAGAACTGACTTATATGGGGCCTGTGTTGTGTAGTTTTGCCTTAATCTTTGTATTGATGCCCATCAGTGTGAAAAAGCTATTTGCATATATTTGCATATATATGCAACCACACTTAAGTTGGGGCCCTACACATGTGCTGTGTGTAGCATTGTGGCCCCAGGGGCTTCCAAAGTTGAGTAGCCCTGATCTGTCATGAGAGTTGAATTTAAAAAACTAAATTTATTTACAAAAAAAGGCATTCAAGAATAGAACAATGGAAAACTTTAGCACCTCTGAGTCCAATCTTACTACTTGTTCAGCAAATTGTTCAGACAAATGATTTGTTTATATTTGCAGGAGATAATGCTGTCTGCTTCTTGTTTACAGTGTCAGCTGAAAGTGAGAACAGTCATTCACATGGCAATGTTTTAGCCAGTGTTGCAAGATACTTATCTGCGAGATGGACTATAGATTCATATGTCCCTTCATGCTTCAACCACCATTCCAGAAAACATGCTGATGACAGGTTCTGCTTGATAACGATGCAGAGCAGACTGATACACATTCATTTTTATCATCCAAGTCATATTCAACCAGCAGAAGTGAGATTTTCTTTTTTGTTGGTTCGTATTCTGTAATTTCCACATTGGACTTCATCCTCTGAGTTTGGAAGCTCTTCGGAGTCTTAAACCTTGGGTCTAGAGCTGTAGCTATCTTTTGAAATCTCACACTGGTGCCTTTGTGTTTTGTCACATCTACAGAGAAGGTTTGTTAAAGCAAGCCACGTGCTGGGTCATCATCTGAGACTGCTATAACATGAAATATACGGCATTATGTGGATAAAACAGAGCAGGAGACATACAGATCTCCTCCAAGGAGTTCAGTCTCAAATTTAATTGACAGGTTATTTTTTTTTAACAAATCTTATCAGCTTGGAAACATGCCCTGGATTGGTGGCTGAAGCACAAAGGGACATATACTAAACATGTGTATCTCGCATGTAAATACCTTGCAATGCCGACTACCAAAGTGCCCTGCAAATGCCTGTTCTCACTTTCAGCTGACATTGTAAATAAGAAACTGGCAGCATTAGCACCTGTAAATGTTTTGCAATGTTTTGTTTGAGTGCAATTAAGCAACAACAACAAAATCTATTTGTAAAGGGCAATCTCATTATAGAAATTGCACTACAATATAGGGACATAAACGACTGGTCGACTGTCTGATAAGCAAAAGCTTATTAGATAGTGGACTTGTTCCTCGGCTAGTCTAGCCGAGTTCCCCCCAGCACCATCTCTGTAGAGGAGTAGCAGGGACCATGCATGAGCCAGGAATCCGATGATTCCCAACTTGCGCCCAGTCCGAAACGCTGCAACTCTGCTTTTTAAATGTATTAAGAGCCTGTCGGCTCTTCATACATTTCAAAGGCAAAGCCGCAGTGGGGTTAGCTGCTGGGACCGGGAGCTAACCCTGTTGTGGCTCCCCTGCTTATTGACTAGTCGATGGAAAATCCATCAAGTCAATTATTTGATTAAACTATATTTAACATCCCTACTATGGTACTTTGTATGAAGTGAACTGAAAGTTACTATTTCTTTTGCAAACATTTGTAGTAAAAAATGTGGAAGCACTATACTTTGTATTTTGTTGAAATCAATATATTTGAAAATTTAGAAAAAAATCAAATATTTAATAGTTTTATTGTATTCTATTAATAGTGCGATTAAAAGTGCAGTTAAGCACAATTTTTTGAGTTAGTTGCATGAGTTAAATTAGTTTAATCGGCA